AATAGTAAAGTTAAAAAACTTGGAAAAAAGTAAACGAGACTGTAGAGCGGATGTCCTCTATATGTGTGTCGTGCCTAGGGCGGAGGCGGCCTCTGGCAGCGCCTTAAACTACCGTCTTCACCCGAATAGAACGCCCGGTCATTATAGCTGTATTTGGCACAACTTTCAGCCCAGATACGGCGATAATCTGGGCGATAATTACCGGGCGTTCTATTCGAGTGAAGACGGTAGTAGGCTGCCTCTGGCAGGGGATCGCCGCACGGCTCTGCTCTTCGGGACGACTTTCTTATCTAGTGGCTAGCGTGGAGGCGGAAGCCATAGCCCGCTCTCTCTCTCTCTCTCTCTATCTCTCTCTCACACACACACAGATTCACTCTTCACTTTTTCTTGATAGCTATTTTTTTCGCTATTGTTCAATTGCACTATCTCTCTCTCTCTCTCTCTCTCTCTCTCTCTCTCTCTCAGGACATTGCCTCACTTCAGGAGTGCTGGTTCCGAGAAGACAAAAGTGCTGAAGGTAATTGGCACGTTTCACAGAATGGTAACGAACACATATGAGGTCGCAGATCTAACCGCGGTATTAAAGTTGTTTTGTAGGGAACTCAGACTTATGGACTACCCATGGAGAATCTGGGCTTTCATCAGAAACTGCAAAGACGCAAGAGTGCGGAATATATATATATTCCGTAAGTATCTGGAAGCAGAAGAAGCACCGAACAGGAACTGAAAAGGTAAATAAAATAAACGTGCAAGCTACAAAAACACATAAAAAATCGCACAAAAAATCGAACTAACAAACAAAAATCTACAGATATAATGATGCAAGAAGGGCCGCATGGATTTCCCAACATAAGCTTAGAAATGAAGCCAATCAAAATCCACAAGATGTTTTCGGGAGAAACAAACAAGCGATGGAAGTTGAAAATACTCACCTGAAACAAAAACAAAGCCAAAACGTATGTCAGTAATCCGCGACGGATATACGGAAGACTTCGACGGAAATACGGCCATAGGGATAACCTCTAAATGTATGAGTACGGAATTCCAGAAAACAGACAATAGCACAGAAGTGGACACAAGGATGTAACTTTATATACAGCAAATCGAAGACAACCGGAAATCTACGACAGAAAGAGCGGTACAGAGCAAGACTAAAGAAAGAGCAGAAAGAGCAGTACAGAGCAAGACTAAAGAAAGAGCAGAAAGAGCAGTACAGAGCAAGACTACGGGAGACACAGAGGAAACGATGATGAGGACGCTGCAGGGCATGTGGACAAGTAGGTGGGGAGGAGAAGGAGAATAGGGTATAAATTCAGAGACAGTGGCTGAAAGGATTACCTGAGCAGTGAGGTAGAAGGGTAATCCCGACCGTTGTCGCATCCCATTGACAGGACGTGTTCGCGTTTTGTCTAATATTGCAAAAGTGTGTATCTCTCACTCACACACATATTCACTTTTCACTTTTTATTGATAGCTATTTTTTTCGCTATTTTTCAATTGCACAATAGCGCTATTGTGCAATTGAACAATAGCAAAAAAAATAGCTATCAACAGGGTTCCCGGCGTTCGGGACGGGCCGAACGCCCGAACCCGAACGCCCGAACGTACGGGACCCCTTCGGAACAGCCGAACGCGGACCAAAAAAAAAAAAAAAAAAAAAAAAAAAAACCTTTTTCAAAAAATTCCGAAAACAACATATGTTATGAAGAAAAATAAACTAAACAACATTTGCCTGGGCACTGTATGCAAATTCTTTACCAAATTTGAATTAAAAATCAAATATAGAAAATAAACACTATGATAAAAATAAGAAAAAATAAAAAGAGAATTAAAATGAGTGAGTGTGCCAACACCTTTTCGACACCGCCGTCTTTGCCGATTTTTAATTATTTTTTGGCATTGACAAATGCCCTGAAAATTTACAGATATGTAGTTTAAATAATCAATAACTCATTAAAAAATTTTCAAAAAATAATAATTTTTTTTAGGCCCCGAAATAAAGTGAAAACAAAAAGTTAAAAGTGAAAAAAAAAAAAATAGTGAGTGGGCGAGCACGTTTTGACACCCCCATCTTTGACGATTTTTAATGTTTTTTTGGCTTAGCAGAATGGCTTCAAAATTTATCGGCGTGTAGGTTATGTCATAGAGAACTCACAAAAAAAAATTCAGAATTTTTTTATTTTATTTTTAGGCCCCGAATTGTTTTTTGGCGGGGGCCGAACCTGGAGGTGTTCGGCCCCCGAACGGGACCCCGAACGCCCGAACGTTCGGGGGGCAGCCCGAGGCCCCCCGAACGTTCGGGGGCCAGCCCGAGGCCCCCCGAACGTTCGGTCAGGTAACCCTGGCTATCAAGAAAAAAAAATGGTAATTTCCGTGTTTCCTAAGGCTTGTGTACGAGGGAGTGAGTCAGCTGTCTGTCTGTCTCCACTTGCCACGCACGTGTGTAGGAGAGTGTGTGAATGGTCAAAACTGACACTTAAAGAGTGTGCTACAGCCTACCGCCGAACACAACGCACGCTCATCATGTGAGGCCGGGCGGATACATTGGAGCAGGGCCGTAATTACAGTGGGTTACATTTAAGAGTGTGCTACCGTCTTCCCCCGCTCCCCGAACACAATGCACCCGCATAATGACTGTACCTGACCGGAAAGACGGCTTGTATACATTCATAATCTGTGCTACCGTCTTCCCCCCCGAACACAATGCGTGCAGTCAGGGCCACGTCGGATTCGTTTTGTTGTGAGGAACAAGCCCTCAAGTGGCCCTATCAGACATCACATTGTTCTGGGCTAAGGCCCCCAGCAAGCCAAGTGCCCGCCCTAAGTGAAGGCGGGCCTGAATATTCGTCAAAGGCAAAATTCGACATTTCCATATGGGGGTATTCAGGCTCT